GTCGTCCTTTTGTTTTCTATTAGGGGGGAATTCCGACAGGGTTCGTGTCGTAGCAGACGATTTATGGACTTGTGTTTTAAAAGAAAAACAATATAACTATTGTGAACCTGTTGTTCAATCTTCACTGTATCACGATACGCCGAGTACAATCTTCACTGTATCACGATACGCCGAATACAATCTTCACTGTATCACGATACGCCGAGTACAACATTCACCGAATCACGATACGCCGAGTACAACCTTCACTGTATCACGATACGCCGAGTATAATCTTCACTGTGTCACGATACACGGATTACAATCTTCACTGTATCACGAAACGCCGAGTACAAAACACACTGTATCAAGAAAAACCGAGTACAATCTTCACTGTATCACGATACGCCGAATACAATCTTCACTGTATCACGATACGCCGAATACAATCTTCACTTTATCACGATACGCCGAGTATAATCTTCACTGTGTCACGATACACGGATTACAATCTTCACTGTATCACGATACGCCGAATACAATCTTCACTGTATCACGATACGCCTATTACAACCTTCACTGTATCACGAAACGCCGAGTACAAAACTCACTGTATCAAGAAAAACCGAGTACAATCTTCACTGTATCACGATACGCCGAGTATAATCTTCACTGTGTCACGATACACGGATTACAATCTTCACTGTATCACGATACGCCGAGTAAAATCTTCACAGTATCACGATACACGGATTACAATCTTCACTGTATCACGAAACGCCGAGTACAAAACTCACCGTATCACGAAAAGCCGAGTATAATCTTCACTGTATCACGATACGTCGAGTATAATCTTCACTGTATCACGATACACGGATTATAATCTTCACTGTATCACGATACGCCTATTACAACCTTCACTGTATCACGAAACGCCGAGTACAAAACTCACTGTATCAAGAAAAACCGAGTACAATCTTCACTGTATCACGATACGCCTATTACAACCTTCACTGTATCACGAAACGCCGAGTACAAAACTCACTGTATCAAGAAAAACCGAGTACAATCTTCACTGTATCACGATACGCCGAGTAAAATCTTCACAGTATCACGATACACGGATTACAATCTTCACTGTATCACGATACGCCGTGTACAGTCTTCACTGTGTCACGATACCCGGATTATAATCTTCACTGTATCACGATACACGGGTTACAACTTTCACTGTATCACGATACACGGGTTACAATCTTCACTGTATCACGATACACGGGTTACAATCTTCACTGTATTACGATACACGTGGTACAATAAATACCTTTCGCAAAGCGCTTGGTATAATCGGGCATTCGCGAAACTCGTAGTACAATCGTGTCTGTATTGCGACGCGCGTGGTACAATCTTCTTTCTTATTTGACAGTTATAATAAAAAATATCATTCGTCATACAAATCTAAATGACAGGGGCGGTGTTCGGTTATCATATTTTTATTCAACATTTGTCCTGGAATCCCTTAACAGTCGATACGGTTGACTTGTTTACATATATATCATAGCTATATAAACGCAAGGAACTGCAAAATTAAGCTTTTACATTTTGTCTAAATATAGCTTAACTTTCTTATTATATAGATTTATTTTTATTCAATAACAGGTAGCGTTTAAGCCGCAATGTTAACACGGGGATCAGTTAACAGCCGTTGACGTCATATCATTTCAAGTTCCGGTACATTACCGTGTGCCATCGATTAACCATGTTGGTGCTAACACCACTATCACTCGTGCGCGCGTGATGTTGCATTATCATTAAACTATACACGCTACATTTATGTCAGGACTATCAAATTTATATTTCATGAATTTAATAATAACTAATTTCTCTTTACGCCATCATCACATAACACATTAACAGTTTTTATTGACATTATCACAATTCAGCAATATTGTATGTTCTTGTACGGACTTAAAATCATGTATGTGCTTCATGCCATAACCCGTGTCCCCAATCTGTCTCACATTCCCAAACTTTCTAGATGTCTAATCTGTCTTACATGAAAACTGTTCTACATATCTCCTGGTGCAGGTTTCAAAAACCGCCCTTATCAGGGAAGTTCCTTTAAAAAACAAGAGAAAACGAGTTGTCAACAAAATAAAAATTCGAACTCAAAATCGACAAAACAAAAGCAACATATAAACAAAGAAGGATTTTAATGGAGACTCTTGAAAGAGTACAATGATAATAAGACCATGTGATCCGGAAGGATCATCAGCGACACCCGACCTACACATCTAAGTCAACGCCAAGTAATGTCATGTCCTTCCATCGAAACTTGCCAATAAAACCACAAGGTAGACTAATGAACATGTTAAAGCATATGGACCTCCATATCACACACAGTAACAGCATACTTCTCTATGGGATCATGATGGCGACCACGAAATGGGCATAGTCCTCATCAACCAGCATCACTGGAAACCCTGTGGTGTATTGACATATTTAGATCAAGGAAGTCATGATATTCGGAGCAGGAATTGGGAAGCACGGATGTTACTATCAAAAAAAGGAAAGTTCACAATTGGGAAGTCGAAATCGACCCGCTTATCGTACGGCTTAGTAGTAGGCAACTTTGTTGGTCATGTCGCAAGTAAAAATCGAGGAAAGCGGGAGAATTAGAAGAGTCTGTAGATTCTCAGGAGGGTATATACACTGTACCATCGATGTAGTTAATTTTGTTTTGAAGACAACAACTCGTCGATATATCTCAATGTGAAATTCAAGGTCTGTACCCTTCCTGATAAGCTCATCAATACTTTCAGTCTCATAAGAAGAAACAAATCGGCAAGAAGAGGGGCACAGTTTGTTCCCATAGAAATGCCTACAGTATTATGGAAAATCTTGCCATCGAACTCAACTCAGATATTGACAGCAAATGTTCCAATGTTATTTACGCTCATTATTGATATTGCCTTTCGGACTTTTTTCTTTAGAAAAAAAGCTCTCGTAAAACAATTACGGAAGCGTTTCTTCAGTATGAGGTATAATATTGTTCAGATCGAATTGAAAAGTCAAAAGTTTGATAAACATTTTTGAGGAGAATCCTCATGTTCAGAATAATTTTATCTTACGTGTCCAGTCCATTACTTAATAAGTTTATTTGTTCTTAAAAAGGGTTTCATCGTCCATATGCGGGAGTGCCTTCAAAACGTTGCCAAATCGAACAATTAATCCCTCGACTTCCCGATTTATATATTTTCGTCTCCTTCGATTTTCTTGGTTGTTTGCTATCGTCTCCCTCGACTCTCCGGGTTATATGATATCGTCTTCTTCGACTTTCTGGGTTGTATGCTATCGTCACATTTGTACCTTCGCAGCAAATTACGGCTTCAGTAGAGTTCAGGTCAACGTTTGTACACTCATACCATCCATTATCTGGTGTAGGCACGATGTACATGAAGGATGCTGATGAGAATGACACTGTATTGTGTTTTATTACGTGAAGGATGCTGATGAGAATGACATGGTATTGTGTTTTGTAACGTGAAGGATGCTGATGAGAATGGCACGGTGTTGTGTTTTGTTACGTGAAAGGTGCTGATGAGAATGACATGGTATTGTGTTTCGTAACGTGAAGGATGCTGATGAGAATGGCACGGTGTTGTGTTTTATTACGTGAAGGATGCTGATGAGAACGGCACGGTATTGTGTTTTGTTACGTGAATGATGCTGATGAGAACGACACGGTATTGTGTTTTGTTATGTGAAGGTTGCTGATGAGAATGACATGGTATTGTGTTTTGGTACGTGAAGGATGCTGATGAGAATGCCATGGTATTGTGTTTTGTTACGTGAAGGATGCCGATGAGAATGACACGGTATTGTGTTTTATTACGTGAAGGATGCTGATGAGAACGGCACGGTATTGTGTTTTATTACGTGAAGGATGCTGACGAGAATGACATGGTATTGTGTTTTGGTACGTGAAGGATGCTGATGAGAATGCCATGGTATTGTGTTTTGTTACGTGAAGGATAGGTAGCGTGTAAGCCGCAATGTTAACACGGGGATCAGTTAACGGCCGTTGACGTCATATGATTTCAAGTTCCGGTACATTACCGTGTGCCCTCGATTAACCATGTTGGTGCTAACACCACTATCACTCTGTCGCACGTGATGTTGCATTATCACACGGTATTGTGTTTTGTTACGTGTAGGATGCTGATGAGAACGACACGGTATTGTGTTTTGTTATGTGAAGGATGCTGATGAGAATGCCATGGTATTGTGTTTTGTTACGTGAAGGATGCTGATGAGAAGGACATGGTATTGTGTTTTGTTACGTTGAGGATGCTGATGAGAATGACACGGTATTGTGTGTTGTTACCATTACCGTGTGCCATCGATTAACCATGTTGGTGCTAACACCACTATCACTCTGTCGCACGTGATGTTGCATTATCACACGGTATTGTGTTTTGTTACGTGTAGGATGCTGATGAGAACGACACGGTATTGTGTTTTGTTATGTGAAGGTTGCTGATGAGAATGACATGGTATTGTGTTTTGTAACGTGAAGGATGCTGATGAGAATGGCACGGTGTTGTGTTTTGTTACGTGAAAGATGCTGATGAGAATGACATGGTATTGTGTTTTGTTACGTGAAGGATGCTGATGAGAACGACACGGTATTGTGTTTTGTTAAGGCTTTCTTTGGAAGATTATTTCACAAAGCTTAAAACATCACACAAAACTTAATAGTTAACAAATGATAAGGTCACAATAAGCGATAATGTGGGTGACTCTCCTGAATATAGATTTCACTTTAATGCTGTCGTAATATTATTTAGCTACTGTGATCAAAGCTACAATTGAGACATCATGATCAGTTAAGTTAAATGTACGGAATACAAAGATGGTTCTAAAGAGAGGTTAACTACTTAGGGTAGAATAAAGTTGTGGTTCTTTTTTTTCTAACTTGTAATATATTTTTGAACTATTTTGTTAAATTATCTTTACAGTTTGCTGGAAGTATAGTGACATACGCTGTCGTGGTGATACAATTTGCGCCGTCAGATGGCGCTGTTGACCCCGCTCGGTTTGTCTGTAACTGTTCCTGTGTTTGATGATATAGGGGTCCATGACGGGACATCAGCTACTCTAGGTCCAGACAGCCGTCAGCCATATTTACCGGAGGTTAAATGTTGTTACTGCTGTACGCTCCATTTAAGATTGGGGATCATGCGATCTACAGACGAATTATATCAGACGTAAACATGAGTCGGCTACAGCTTGCTGCACATCTAGTACGAGGGACGATATGTATCCACTTACCATATACATCATAAAGTACCCCTCACTACTGTGTCTACCAAACGAAATCATAAGACACCATTGGTCTGAAAAGACCGACAATCAATATCTTGTCGTTATTGTTGCCCGACATATTTTTCCGACTATTAGTAGCCTACTGCTTTTAGAATACCTGTTTGTATATATAATAGTACTTGGTTCACTAGGAGTGTCATGGCAACGTTTATAATTACGTCATCAGCGCGTGCTAGTGACAAGTGATTGATTTCCTTCGTGCCATGTGATTTATACTTGATGGCGGAGAGCGTGCGGCGGGAGTGATGCTACATTGTACACCTCCCTAGTCAAATATGTATCTTAGAGTCGATCACTCCACCTCCCATTCAGATAGAGAAGTGCGCATTAGAATTATTGTATACTTCCTCACCTTCTTCACGTCTGCCCGTGTGTGTAGCTACAACTATGTACGGCCTTTTAGCGATTACTTGGAAAAAATGTGTATGTCACTGTTCAAACATGTACCTTGTTTTTAAACCCGCACCAAGTCGTCACAAGAGGACTACAGATGCTTTTTTACATCTTAATAAAACCGTCGAAACGGATTTTTTCGCATGTTGCTGATCTTTTTGACGTCGTACGCATAATTTGGCAAGCGGTTTACAGATTGTTATTGTAATCAGTGCTTTCCTATCATGACCCTACGAAAGAATAAAGGAAATTATGAATAGTTTAAATCGCCAGGGAGCCAGACAACCAGACAACAACCAGACAACAGACAGACAACAGACAACAAACAGACAACAGACAACAGACAGACAACCAGACAACCAGACAACCAAACAACAGACAACCAGACAACCAGACAACAGACAAACAGACAGACAACCAGACAACAAACATACAACAAACAGACAACAGACAACATACAGACAACATACAGACAACCAGACAACCAAACAACAGACAACCAGACAACAGACAACCCGACAACCGCGTCTTAATTGTCTTTATTGAAAACTGATATTATAGATAAATCGAAGCAGTGCTCAATAATGTTTTGTCATACCAATAAATGTTTTTTTTAGACTATATTTAATATCGATAAGAGTGATAGGAAGTGGTCGGTACATGTAACCATCACGCTGTACAACCAGGGCTATACATTACTTTCTTAATCATCTAATAAATTTGCGCATGTTCGCTTCTGTTTTACAGGTGCATATTTCATTGTAGTTAACCATGAAACATTGTTCGTTAAAACTCTAATAACGCTATCCTAGTGGGTAAATTATTCATGATGGGATAATTGTCGCCAACGCACGGAGCAGCGGCATACTCACAACAGCTCTGCCGTACTCACGAAAATATTTATCGGACTCACAGAAACATGTACTATTGTCATAATTATAGAAAAAGTAACTGTACTCATTTAAGCATGTACTGTATCCACTTAAACATAAATTTCACTTGCAAACCATGTATCATAATCATGGTACATTTAATATGTACCACATCTAAGGAGGCATACATTGTTTTGACGGAAACGTACACTATACTCACGGAAACATACCGTGAACTCATGAACACATGTACCATACTCACGAAAACATGTACCATACTCATGGAAACATACACTTTACTCATGAAAGCTGCACTTCTCACGGAAGCTACACTGTACTCACAGAAACATGTATTGTACTCACGAAAACATGTATTGTACGGAAACATATACTGTACTCACGGAAACATGTACTGTACTCACGGAAACATGTACTGTGCTTACGGAAACATACACTATACTCACGAAAACATGTACTGTACGGAAACATATACTGTACTTACGGAAACATGTACTGTACTCACGGAAACATGTAATGTACTTACGGAAACATGTACTGTACTCACGGAAACATGTACTGTACACACAGAAACATGTACTGTACGGAAACATGAACTGTGCTTACGGAAACATGCACTATACTCACGAAAACATGTATTGTACGGAAACATATCCTGTACTCACGGAAACATATACTGTACTTACGGAAACATGTACTGTACTCACGGAAACATACACTGTACTCACGGAAACATACGCTGTACTCACGGAAACATGTACTGTACACACAGAAACATGTACTGTACTTACGGAAACATTTACTGAACTCACGGAAACATACGCTGTACTCATGGAAACATACAATGTACTCACGGAAACATAACCTGTGCTCACGGAAACATACACTATACTCCCGGAAAAATGTACTGTACTCACGGAAACATATACTGTACTCCAAGAAACATGTACTGTACGGAAACATGTACTGTACTCACACAAACATGTACTGTACTCACGGAAACATGAACTGTACTCACGGAAACATGTACTGTACTCCCAGAAATATGTACTGTACCGAAACATGTACTGTACTCACACAAACATGTACTGTACTCACGGAAACATGTACTGTTCTCACGGAAACATGTACTGTACTTCCGGAAACATGTATTGTACTCACGGAAACATGTACTGTACTTACGGAAACATGTATTGTACTCACGGAAACATGTACTGTACTTACGGAAACATACACTGTACTCCCAGAAACATGTACTGTACGGAAATATGTACTGTACTCACAGAAACATGTACTGTACTCACAGAAACATGTACATACACTATACTCACGGAAACATGCACTATACTCACTACTTACGGAAACATGTACTGTACTCACGGAAACATACACTGTACTCACGGAAACATGCACTATACTCACGGAAACATACACTGTACTCACGGAAACATACGCTGTACTCATTGAAACATACAATGTACTCACGGAAACATACACTGTGCTCACGGAAACATACACAATACTCACGGAAACATGTACTGTACTCACGGAAACACACACTGTACTAACGGAAACATATACTGTACTCAAGGAAACATACGCTGTACTCATGGAAACATACAAGGTACTCACGGAAACATACACTGTGCTCACGGAAACATACGCTGTACTCATGGAAACATACAAGGTACTCACGGAAACATACACTGTGCTCACGGAAACATACGCTGTACTCGTGGAAACATACAATGTACTCACGGAAACATAACCTGTGCTCACGGAAACATACACTATACTCCCGGAAAAATGTACTGTACTCACGGAAACATACACCATACTCACGGAAACATGCACTGTACTCACGGAAACATGTACTTGTACTCACACAAACATGTACTGTACTCACGGAAACATGTACTGTACTCAGGAAACATGTACTGTACTCACGGAAACACACACTGTACTAACGGAAACATATACTGTACTCAAGGAAACATACGCTGTACTCATGGAAACATACAAGGTACTCACGGAAACATACACTGTGCTCACGGAAACATACGCTGTACTCATGGAAACATACAAGGTACTCACGGAAACATACACTGTGCTCACGGAAACATACGCTGTACTCATGGAAACATACAATGTACTTACGGAAACATACACTGTGCTCACGGAAACATACACAATACTCACGGAAACATGTACTGTACTAACGGAAACATACGCTGTACTCATAGAAACATACAATGCAATGTACTCAAGAAAACATACACTGTGCTCACGGAAACATACACTATACTCACGGAAACATGCACTGTAATCACGGAAACATGTACTGTACTCACGGAAACATGCACTATACTCACGGAAAAATACACTATAATCACGGAAGCATACACTTACTGTACTCACGGAAACATGTACTGTACTCACGTAAACACACACTGTACTAACGGAAACATGCACTGTACTCACGGAAACATATACTGTACTCAAGGAAACATACGCTGTACTCATGGAAACATACAAGGTACTCACGGAAACATACACTGTGCTCACGGAAACATACACTATACTCACGGAAACATGCGCTATACTCACAGAAACATGTACTGTACTCACGGAAACATACACCATACTCACGGAAACATGCGCTATACTCACAGAAACATGTACTGTACTCACGGAAACATGTACTGTACTCACGGAAACATGTACTGTACTCACGGAAACACGTACTGTACTTACGGAAACATGTACTGTACTTACGGAAACATGTACTGTACTTACGGAAACATGTACTGTACTCACGGAAACATGTACTGTACTCACGGAAACATGTACTGTACTCACGGAAACATGTACTGTACTCACGGAAACATGTACTGTACTCACGGAAACATGTACTGTACTCACGGAAACATGTACTGTACTCACGGAAACATGTACTGTACTCACGGAAACATGTACTGTACTCACGGAAACATGTACTGTACTCACGGAAACATGTACTGTACTCACGGAAACATGTACTGTACTCACGGAAACATATACTGTACTCACGGAAACATACGCTGTACTCACGGAAACATGTACTATACTCACGGAAACACACACTGTACTAACGGAAACACACACTGTACTCACGGAAACATGTACTGTACTCACGGAAACATGCACTGTACGTACTCCAAGAAACATGTACTGTACGGAAACATGTACTGTACTCACAGAAACATGTACTGTACTCACGGAAACATGGACTGTACTTACGGAAAAATACACTGTACTCCCAGAAACATGTACTGTACGGAAACATGTACTGTACTCACAGAAACATGTACTGTGCTTACGGAAACATACGCTGTATTCACAGAAATATGTACTGTACTCACGGAAACATGTACTGTACTCAGGAAACATGTACTGTACTCACGGAAACAGGTACTGTACTTACGGAAACATGTATTGTACTCAGGGAAACATACACTGTACTCCCAGAAACATGTACTGTACGGAAACATGTACTGTTCTCACAGAATCATGTACTGTGCTTACGGAAACATAAGCTGTATTCACAGAAATATGTACTGAAACATGTACTGTACTCACACAAACATGTACTGTACTCACGGAAACATGTACTGTACTAACGGAAACATGTATTGTACTCAAGGAAACATACACTGTGCTCACGGAAACATATACTGTACTCAAGGAAAAATGTACTGTACTGACGGAAACATGTATTGTACTCACGGAAACATACACTGTACTCCCAGAAACATGTACTGTACGGAAACATGTACTGTACTCACAGAAACATGTACTGTACTTACGGAAACATGTACTGTACTTACGGAAACATACGCTGTACTCATGGAAACATACAATATACTCACGGAAACATACACTGTGCTCACGGAAACATACACAATACTTACGGAAACATGTACTGTACTAACGGAAACATGTACTATACTAACGTAAACATACGCTGTACTCATGGAAACAAACAATGTACTCGCGGAAACATAACCTGTGCTCACGGAAACATACACAATACTTGCGGAAACATGTACTGTACTAACTGAAACATGTACTATACTAACGTAAACATACGCTGTACTCATGGAAACATGCAATGTACTCACGGAAACATACACTATACTCCCGGAAACATGCACTATACTCACGGAAGCATACACGATAGTCACGGGAA